ACTATAGATGAACAGGCGATGGATAGAACTGGGTGTTTGACAGGTCTTTCAATTAAGTGTAATCAAGAGAGAATTTTACTTCATGGAGATTTCTGCAGAGTGTCAAGTTCATTAGGATCTTGAATTTTCTTCCATTCCTGCAAAATGCCAACTATGGATAGATATAATACAGAGGAATGTACTCAAGTTATGAACAACAAACTGGTCAACATAAAATGTTCTGCATCAAAGAAATTTTTTCAAAATGGGCTATCTTGAGAAAATATCTTTTATCAGAATGCTTCATTAAAATACACCTCTTCTCCCCCCAAAGATCAGCATGCCCAATGTTTTTGCAAAGAAGACTGAAGTCCTTACACACGGTGGACTCCAACAATCAAGTCTTCTCTGAAAATCTATATACCCACCCTTCATGATATTATAAAGGTCATTAAGACAACGGTTAGAATAAATAATACAGCTTTTAATACATGTACGACCCGTTAAATACAAGATTGATTTTCCACATGTGTGGGAGTAGGGAAATAGCTGGCTTCTCTCCCTCCTGCTTACATTAAGTTTAACCTCCTTTATGCAATCCTGGGCTTCGGATGCAGTGCAGTTACCATGAAGAGGAATTCTGTGAGAGAGTCTCACAGACTATCAAATTATATTTTCTAATATGTGTTGTTGTTGTTGTTATGTGTCACCGAGTCATTTGCGAATCATAGCGATCCTATGTAGAACAGCCCTAAACTCTGCTCTGTCTTATGACAATTGCACTGTCTCTGATACACCCATCCCGATTACCCCAGTCACTGAATCAATTCACCTCACAGAGTGCCTTCCCCTCCTGCACTGTCCCTCCACCCTCACAAGCATGATGTCCCTCTCCAAGGACGGTCTCTCCTTACAACATGTCCAAAGTATGTTAGAGCCTCAGAATCCTTGCCTCCAAGGAAGCAGCCTGGTTTAACCCTCTCCAGGATGACTGTTTCCTAGCAGTCCATGGTACCCTCAATACTCTTCTCCAGCACCACAGGTCAAAGGCATCAATTCTCCTTCTATCCTCCTTAGTCATTGTCCAACTCTCTGATGCATAACAAGAGATAGCAAAAACCATGGCCTGTATCAGACACACTTAGTCTAACATATAGTAAGTAATAATTGTTCTGGAGAATAACTGGAATTTCTTTTCTACCTGCTGCAGTGGGCTATTGTGTTTCAGGAAGTGTGAGGATGGCTCAGGATAAAACCATTTATTCATAGGTTCGCTATAAGTCAATGGCATCTAACAGTAACAACAACAACGACAACAACAACAAAGAGTAAGGCAGCCTAGGAAGAAAACTCTGGCAATCTACTTTCAAAAATTAGCTAATGAAAACCGCGCAGACCATAATGGTCCAGTTTATAAGTAAAAATGGGATGAGGCAGGACTGATCAGTATTTCATTTCCTTGTGCCTGGCAATGCCTGGCATTCGGTTGATGTAAGGGTGGCTAACAAGAACCACCACTGTTTGCTTCGGCAGTGCATATACTACAAATTGGAATGATAAAGAGAACATTAGCATGGCCCCTGCACAAGGATGACATGCACATTTGTGAAGCGTTTTGTATTTTTCTGTTTTTTGGTTGAGACTTGGGTGTAGTTGTTGCTTGTAATTGGATGTGAGTGAATTAGATTTGGCCTAATTGTTTTCAGGCAAACATTCTATAACAAATTGCCAGACCACTGCTGTACTACTTAAAAGAATGGTTGCTGTGATGCTAGACTCTGTGACTGGTTACCCATGGTGGACAGTGTTTGGTGGAGCTCCTGAATTAAAACAGGTTTAGACGCCGGAGCGGCATCCACTTCTGAAATAGCTGCCCTCTGGAAACTCTATGTACTTAGGGGAAAGATAACATTTTCTTCGTGTTTAAGATTTTCATTCATAAAGTCGCTATAAGTCATCTACGACTCAATGGCACTCAATAATAACAAGAACAACAACTCACTAGCTGCTTGACCTCGGGCAAAAGTTCTTCCCTCTAAAAATGAGGATAATTTCACCTACTCGGCCCCAGAACACAGGCATTTTGTTTCCCAGTAGAGTCAATGCAGACGAATGATGATAATCATTACAGTCATGGGTTGTGGTTTTGGGCCCACATAAAGTTTGCCCTTGTTCTATATGCCCATTTCTTAGCTGGTATTTAGATGTGTAAACATCATGGCATTCATTTCAATAGAAGTGACACATTCCACTATGTCGATTTTTATATGCTACCACTGAAAAAAATCCCCTACTTGTTGGCATCAAGTCATAACTGACTACTGATCCATGAGTTTCCCAAGGCTCTAAATCACACAGGAGGAGACTTCAGGGTTGCTGGTGCCTTTGAAGTATCAGAGAAGCACCTGCTTTGGGTTAGAAGTATAAGTTCATACGGGCTATGCCACTGGAGTTCCAACAATAATACTAAGAAATTAAAAAACACCAAAGATCTTCAATATTTACGCATCTCATTTCATTCTTGAAAGCTGTTAGTTTAAATCTTAGTCCTGTTACTTACCAGCTTTATTGTCTTGAGCAAGATAATTAACTGGGATAAGGTCCCAGCTATTCTCTGGGAAAAAGGTGAATAATTCCCTCCTGTGCAGTTTGCTGCTTCTGAAAAACCTTCTGGAGGACCACCTATGAGTCAATGGTACATAATAACAACAACAATCTGTGGAATAGGTATTATAATGTTGTTGTTGTTACGTGTTGTCAAGTCGCTTGCAACTCACAATGACCATGCGTACAACAGCCCTAAGTCTACCCTGTGCCAACTTTACTATCTTCGACACACTTACCCTCATTACCCCAGTCACTGAATCAATCCATCTCATGGTGGGTTTCCCTCTCTTTCTCCTTCCCTCCACCCGCCCAAGCATGACGTCCCTCTCCACGGACCTGTCCCTCCTTGCAACATGCCCAAAATCTGTCAGACGAAGCCCCAGAATCCTTGCCTCCAAGGAGCAGCCTGTGTTCACCCTCTCTAGGATGAACCTGTTTATTCTCACACATCTTAAAAAACAAACCAGACAATATGTGTAACATGTTTAACATAGTGCCTGGCAAGAAAGAAACACCCCCCCATATCATTTATTGCTATTATTATAATCATGAAAGGAGCTCTGACGGAATCATCTGTAAAGAGTTCTATTGCTAACTCAAAGCCCACACCGTTCTGCAGGGCTCAACACTCCAGGGGCTCTTCACACAATCTCTGAGCACGATGTACCGTCTCCAGAAAACCTGCTGGAGGCTTAGTTATGAGTCAATTTAAACTCAGAGGCAATGAGGTTTTTTATTGTCATCATTATTTAAGACAAGATTATTGAATAGTTGTCATTGCTACTGATTCACCCTTTTGTTCTCCAGTCTCATCGCACCATTCACTCCTTCATTGTGACAGAAATCAAAATTGTCTATTCTTCACCTACTGAATTTCCATGCATAAAGCAATGAGACTTATTTTACTGAACTGGCTCAACTAAGACAGTTGCTTCAAGAAGACAGGGCCAACCGAGTTTAGAAGATAAATGAATTGTTTAATCAAGTAAGCTAATTCCATACCTCTTTTGCTGTTGCATCAAAGGTAGTGTTATTGCTTTAGCAGTAGGGATATTAAGCTCTAGTATTACACGTGGCACCCTGGCCAGAACTGAGAATATGTAAAGTATATTTATTGGTGATATGGATAAATATGCATGCAGTCCTATTATTGGAACTAATGAAGTTATGAAAGGGAATGCCTAGAGAAACAGGGTAAATGAAATACCATAAAATGCATTCACATAGCATTAAAAAATGAAAGACATTTGTGGAAAAACAGATGTGATGAAAAACCAAGTCTGAATAAAAATTTAGTGATCCCCCCCCCACTTTTGGTTGGTTCTCATTCTTTTTCTGGATGTTAACTAAGCCACACTGGATTAATTATTACTTGCCACACTGGATTAATTATTACTTTGGGAATAATAATTACTTAAAAATCCCACTGACATGTTGGAAAAGATGTACAGTCAGAGAGAGAAGAAACCCTCAAGGAAATGGATTGACACAGTGATGGTAACAGTGGGCTCCAGCAGTGACTGTGGGAAGGCACAAGGTTTGAATCTACTGTTCTCAGGCTGAATATGAGTTGTGGTTGACCCCATGTCAGCTAATAATAACATCATCCTGCCCTGAGACCTCCAAAATACACTCTCTTGTTGTTGTTGTTGTTATTGTTTTGTGCCATCGAATTGGATCTGACTGGCACAGGAAGAGATTGGCCCTCCATGGAGCATCTGGTGGATTTGAACCATGCACCTTCAGGATTGCAGCACAGTTTTTTGCCACTAGGCTATCAGAACCCACCCTTTTTTCTTTTCTTTTTTTTTTAATTAAAAATTCACTCTCTAACCTATGCACTTTTAACTTGGATAGCCTTTTAGACATTATTTCAGGTGTCTGGAGCCCTCATGTAGCCCACCCATGGATCACATCTAAAGGATAAGATTTCCTAGACCACGATCTTTGAGCATTTAAGATCCTGTTTCCATTTTTAAAAAAATCAACCTTCAGCCATTGAAGCCTCTAATTTAAGCAGCTAGTTAGCTGAAAACGTACTGTCATATGCTAAGAAAGATTATTACTTAAAGAAACTTTAGAATGAATCCTTTTGTAAAGTAAACAATAACATGTATCTTACTAACTTTTCATGCAAACATACCGGGTCTTTGCCTGCTCTCATTATTTTGGAAGACAAATTAGATAAAAGACAAATACAACATTCCCAGATTTTAATGTTTTCCAGCTTTTACTGAGTGAGGTTATTAGTTACCTTCACCAATACTTCCTTCTGGACAGACAAATGTTTCTTTTTCTGGCAAGGTCCTTTTAATTAAGAATCTTTGCCACTAAAGCATATAATACGTCTTGGGGATCATGCAGTCTAAAGTTTACAGTTAAATCTCTTTTAAAATGGCATTAACGTGTCTTACTGCAAGGGCTTGAACTGTGGCCAGGTAGAGAACCGCAAGATCATCAAGGTCCTGGGACAGTTTCAATCCGGTGACCTGTAGGGATGAAGAAAAGAAATGGAAGAAGGTAGCTAAAAGGGGCTGCCACAGAGAGAGATAGTTCCCAGGAAACATGTTCAGATGTGTTTTCTTGCTGAAAACAAGTTCATATGCAAATCCCCTTTAAGGAAGCTGAACGTGAAAAGCCTACTAAATTGTTTAATCTCCAGATCTGGGAAAAAACGATCCCATCCTCCCTAAAAGAAAATGCTCTGGATTTAAAAAAGAAAAAAACAAAACAAAAAACAAAAAAAACCCAACCACCACCAAACTAAAACAAACAGGCTAAGAAGATGGTATTAGATGAAATATCTCCCCTCTATAAAAGGGAAAATATTTCTTGCAAATAGAGAAATAAACGTGTAACAGTGTGACTTCTAGCAAAAGACGATCTTATGCTGGGTTTTGCTACTATCACAGTTTAGTATAACGGCATCCAGGGGTATTTAAGGTAAAATAATATGTCTCCTATAAATGCCTACTAGGGGAAATTTAGAATTTATGGTTTGCAGGACAATCCCATTAAAGTTAATCAGAACCATATGCTTCTATGGGTTCATCCATCTCTGAGAGAATCCTGAACTGAACAGAATTCTGGACTTGGATGCTGTCAAGATGTATTCACCCTCCTGGTTTGATATTTCCCATTGATCAAGGTATCCTCTCAAGGTATTCCTAAATGGAGAAGACTGCTGGTTTCCCAAGCATAGCCCGAAGTCTATGGGAATCAATACCAGAATTTGCTTCAGATTTCCACATAACAAAATGAACTCTTGTAATATACTCAGGGAAGACCATTTTCTAGGAAAGGACATAAACACCATTCAGTTGTTCAAACAGGATCCGAGAGCCCTCTTCCTTGACTTGCCCCTCCCTTGCCATGTTTGAACAATCTCTGAGTTCTGTACATATACTTGACTTCTTAGATCTTTTTGATTCTAACTCTTTGTCTTCATCTCACTCCTTCTAAATTCCTTAATCAAGGTCACACCATTATTTTCTGCCTTATTTCTGAGAAATCGTCCACACAGATCACCTTGTCTTTTACTGTGTACCCCCCAAGAATCTAGCCATGATCCTTCTGAAATACAATTCTCCTCATGTTACTACTTCCGTTCTAAAAGCCTCTTCATCCACACTGAGTTCACGGTAGAAAGGTCTTCCTGCATCCCATGTGCTCCTTTGTAAACTCACATTTGCTAACTCCCCCAATGTCTACTCTTGTCCTTTCTCACCAACACACTACAGTAAAAAAATTCTGACTTACAAAGTGAAATTGCTTAGTGTGGATATTCCCGAACTATCTGCTAGTTGATTTTATTGGAAAATAGTTGGGCATTCAGTTGAGATCTATGAATTTGATTCTGACACAGAAGCAGCTTAAATAGAAGACCAGAAAGAAACTCAAGGTATGTACCACCTCAGGTCAACAACTTTATGTAAAAACATCTCTGACAAAGTTTTCTGGAGACATAAACTTGCAAGAGAAAGGCTGGACGTAGGGGAGAGAATATGTGAACACTGACACTATAGAACTTCATTTCATAGGGGAGGAACTCATTTGCCTCATGAAACAGAACATAATATTAACAATAAAAACCCGAGCCTACTATCATGTAGATGACTCTGAGTCACAGTGACCCTATTACGTTTCCAAGGTTGTAAATTTTCATAAGTGGTGTCTGTCCATCTTTCTCCTACAGAATGACTGGTAGATCAAACCACTAACCTTTTGGTTGGTAGCTCACCACCACCAAGTGCCTCTTCCCTGGCACATCAAACTCAAGTCATTGCTGATGAATTGTTTCTGACTCATATCTGACCCTCCATTAGGCTTCTGAGGATGTAAATCTCATGTGAGGAGACTGCCCACAGGGACTAAAGAAGTAAAACTGATAATGCCTCTGGTTTTGAATGGATGAAACAATAAGTCAATGTTCTTTTCCCTCCCTTTAGACACCACTCTTCCTCATAATGTTTTATCTTTCTGTGGTAAGTGGTAAAATTTTACATTTTCACTGGAGATAGGAGCTATCTTTTCAATCTTCTCTTCCACTTACTCTTCTTCATTGGAAAGGTGAGTGGCTTATTGTGAGGTTGAGGTAGAATCAGAATGTATGTTGTTCATGTAAGGAACCCTGGAAATGCAGTGCTCAAAAAAATTTGGCTGTTGACCAAATGGTTAAAGGTTTGAACCTACTATCCATTCTGTGGAAAGAGAGATGAGGCCATTTATTTCCATGATATTTACAAGTTCGGAAACTCTGAAGACAGTTTTACCCTGTTCTACAAGATCACTGTGAGTCAGAATCGACTTGATGTCAGTGGGTTAGAGTTTTTGGCTGTGTGTGTAGTAGAAGCAATGGTGGCAGATTTCTACCTAATTGACTCTTTCAGCCTTTTACCGGTATGCACTGTTTGGGGAAGCACTCCTGAATGTAGTGAAGCACCCGGTCTTGTTATTTGAAATATAGAGGAAATACTGTTGTTGTGGTGTACCATAGAGTCAGAACTGACCCACACTTGACGCTTCAGAGGGTTTTCAGAGGCAGTTAACCGCACAGGAGGAGATTGCCTATCCTTCTCCCACACAGCAAAAAAAGAAACTGATGTTGATTTAGAATTTAAAAGTATTGAGGGGAAGAATTGTTGTTATGTTGTTGTTAAGTGCCGTCGAGTCCTAGGCGACTCATAGCGGCCCTATGAACGAAAGTCCTCAACACTTGTGTGACTTTCATCCTCTCTCCAGGTCCATAGAGTTTCTGGAGGCAAGCAATTACCGAAGTGGATGCCATCCTGCTTCCAAGCTTGTTTTAATCAAGGAGCTCCACTAAACACTGTCCGCCATGGGTAACCATTAACGCATTTGGAAGAATGGTAGGCATATTTAAAACAGAGCAAAAGAAAAGAGAAAAGTCTAGGCTGGTTGGTTGGGTTTGGGTTTTTCCCCTCAAAGAAAGACAGCTACCTAAGTGTGAACAGAATGAATTCTTATTCCACTTCTCTTTTCTCCACTGAGTAAATGGCTTATTCACCGGGAGCCTTGGTTTATCTATTAATTTAAGTGCAGTAACATTATTGTATGGGACTATTGTGAAAGTTGGGGATGATGCATGTGAAGCATTTAGCATGGCGCCTGGCACATCATAGTCCCTTAAAAAATAGTAGCTAGTATTAATCATCATAATAGCTGGCAAATTAGTCACTTTATTAAGGAAAACATATTATCAGGCAATAACCTAAATGACACTTGAGAAGATAGAGGTTTGTTATAGGGCTCACTTTTTCCTGAACAAAAACAATATGTAAAAAATGGCTGAATAAAACAGCATTAAGTAGCAAAAGCATCAACCAAGTTATGTCAAAGAGACTGTGTTTCAAAAGCTAATAAATATATCACTCTAAAGAAGCTACAATTAGCTCACGAGTCTCAAGTTCCATCATCCATCTGTCCTGTCAGAGGCACCACAGGGATCCAACCTCTGGTCTCTACTGAGTTCTTGCAACTACTCATTTTACTGATGGTTCTATATACACACACATCTGAATCTATTTAACAACGCCCGTTTCTCGCTAGGATTTAGGTCTCTGGAAGCTGGCTCAAATCCCCTAAACTTCTTTCCCAACTCTTTTCTAGTTTTCCATGTGCAGATTCACTCTGAACTTGCTTTGAAGAAGGCTTGTAGCAGCAATCACCCTCTTCAGAAGTTTGAGAAGGATATGGCCTGATGTTAGAAATAACAGCTCTTCAGACAACAAGAAAATAGCTTTCCATCCTGAGTAGCGCTGTATTTATAAAACAAAGCAGATAAATCACTGTTCAACCAATGGAGAAGGTAGTGTTTTGGGGCCCTCATAATTCTCTAAGTTACTAACTTAAGTGGGTTATTTCAGGTGGAAATAAAACAAAGTGACAAATAGGAGCCAGAAATAAATACAAGTAGGCAAAGTTTCTATCTAAAGTCTGGCTAGTTTTTAAGGGGTACCAAATTTGAATTTCATTTAATTTTAATGAAAAATCCAAAGCCAAGTCCTTTAATAACTAGGAGACTAGAAGAGTCTAATTTTTGGACTTTAGTGAAACCCACTTCCTGTGATGAACCAAGTAATTGTTCATGACTAGTAAGTCAGACAAAATCAGAAGAAACAGCTGCAAATACTCATTAATAATTGGACATGGATATATGAAGTATGAATTGATGAAAAGAGGATATCATTAAAAAACCCAGAATGAATAAAAATTGATATCCTAGGCATTAATGAGCTGAAATAAACTGAAATTGGGCATTTGAATCAGACAATCATATAATCTATCATGCTGGAAATGAGAAATGCAAGCGGTACAGCGTATTGGTCATTGTAAAAAAAGAATATGTTAAGATCAATCCTAAAGTACAATGCTGTCAGTGACAAGATAATATCCACACACCTACAAGGCAGACTAATTTGTATGACTATTATTCAAATATATGCATTGACTTTCAATGAAAATGATGAAGAAATTGAAGAATTCTGTCAACTTTTAAAATCTGAAATTGACCAAACATGGAGACAGGGTGTACTGTTAATTCCTAGTGATTATAATGTGAGAGCTCTGGTGGCATGGTGGTAAGGAACTACACTGCAATTCCCAAGGCATGCAGTTCGAATCCACCAGCTGCTCTGCAGAAGAAGGACGGACTATATCCTCTCGTGTGATTCATTGTGTCTGTGACGGTCAGCTATGGATCAGTCCTAGCTCGACAGTACACAACAAAAATAATGTGAAAGGTGGAAACAAAAAAGAAAGATTAGAAGTTGGAAAATTAGCCTTAGTGATAGAAACAATTCGGAGTCTCAAAATAGAATTTTGCCAAATTAACTATTTATTGGAAAGCCATGTTTTCAGCAATGCAAACAGTGGCTGTATATATGAACCTTGCCAGTTTGAATACACAAGAACCAAATTGTCTACATCAGTGGAATGAGATGATTAAGAAGATCAATAACTTTAGTCA